CAGTTTTGAGCATGCTGAGTTCGAGGTGACCATGGGACATACAAGCAAAAATGTTTAATTCTCCAGGAGAGTTTTAAGAAAGCTAGAAATAAGATTTGGGGTAATCCATAAAGTGGTGGTTGATCTGTAGAAAGTTGATGAAATTGCCACATGTAAGAGTATAGAACTGTAACATTTCAGGTTTAAGAGTGAAGATGTAAAAAGGAAAGGGAGTTTGGGCAAGAAGAGAAGAGAAACAGATTGTTGGAGTCATGAAAGCCAAAGGATAGGTGTTCAAGAATGATGCTGGTAGTGTAAAAAGCTGCAGAACAACAAAGGATGAGGATTTAGAAAACGATTTTGGATTTGGCATTTAGGAGATCAATAATTATCTCCGTTAAAGTAGTTTCAGCCAAGTGGTGAGAAGAAACGCAACTGCAAAAGGTTAAGGCAGGAAAGTTTGGTATGGAAAAAAAGAAACAACTGTCTATTTTCAATAAGGGTGTGAAAGGCTGATAATTCCGGGGCAACTGGGTTTGAAAATTTTGCCTGCATCAGGATCACCAGAGCTTGTTAAAATGCAGATTGCTGGGTCTCATTCCCAGAGTTTCTGATTAAGTAGGTCATAGGGCCACACAATTTGCATTTCTATCAAGTGCTCAGGTAATGGTGATACTGATGGTTCACATGCTGAGAGCCACTGGTTAAGGTTGAGGAAATGTTTTGTTTGTTGTCTTAAGGATTTGTAGCCTTGACAATTTTCAATAATAAAAGGGGAAAAAGCAATTGGAGAGGGAGAGACTGAAGATGACTAAGAGAGTGGTGGGAATAAAACTGCTAGATTAGTGACTTGGAGGAGATGAAAGGCATCAGGAATATCAATAAAGGGAGTAGAGGGGACTTTTTATTTCCTGAAGAATGAGGGAAGTAGGAGAAGATAAGAGAGAATACAGAACACTTAATGAAGAGAGAAGGGAGGTTGAGGGAGCTTCTGTTGAATAACTTGGTGGTAAAATCACAGAGAAGCAGGAGGCTGTAGCTGATGAGAGTGAGGGGGAGGGTGACTTGCAAAGAGTAGAAAAGGGTTAGAGTAGCTGCTGCAGGGAATTCAATGGGAGTCAACAAAATGAATAAAAGGATACTAAGTAGCAGTGGGAGTCCAGCTAAAGTTAGAATGGTTTGAATTTGAAGAGTTAAAAGCCTAAGATTTAAAAGGGAACTGTATGGTGAAAGGCACAGATGGAATTTAAAGTTCACACAGATCCTCCTCCCCTAGAACAGTGCAGACTGGGGTATGATATGTTAAGAGTTCCAAGTGCTTATACTTTATGAGGTGCTTTGAGAGTTTCTTTTTTCTATTTCAGTTAGTAAATATTCTTTGTTCCTTTAATTATCTTATTTTCACTGTTACTCCTTGGCTTATGATCAGTTTTCTTCTCTCTCCAGTGGTCCCCCATTCTCCATCTTTGCTTCCCTAGGAACTCATCTTCAAGTTAACATTAAATTGGATGAAAAAAAGAATTTATGTGGTGGAAGGTCATTTTTTAGCCAGTTTCTTAGAAAAACATATTCTATTGAGCGGGGTATACCTATATGCTTTAGCCAGTTAAATTCTTGATTATATGAATGCTTTCATTTCACATTTATTGACTTGCCCAATCAATTTCCTTTTATTGTTTACCTAAAAATGAACCTTAGGGGGCTCTTGAGAGGTTCTTGTTAGAGGCCATATTACAGATTGCAACCTCAGTTGGCTGCTGGTTTCAAATATTTCCATTATTTACCTTGGGTTTTGCTTGCATGCCCATTCTGAAAACCAGCTCCTTCCAAGGGTTCTGGATATTTTGTAATTCTGCATAAGAATGTAAATATATCTATTTATTTAAAATATAATAGTACCTGCATTTAATTGACAATGTCAAACTGGAATTTTTTGCCTGAAGTTACAAAAGAGCATATTCTTTCTCCAAATTGAGTATGAATTAGGACAAAATGTAAATTGCTAATTAAATCCCAGAAGATTACAGTGTTTCAGTGGCTGAGAAGTTACACTTAGGTACCAAATCATTCCACTAGACTAGTGGCGTCTAGAACTTTTGTTCTGATAAGATATGATATCTTCTTGTACTAATTTTGTTCTTATTTTCTGGGGTGCTTTGCTCTTGTCTGGAAATAATTCACAAACCTTGCTTATTTTCTTAGTTTTAGTGTAGTGCCTCTCTTCATGGAGAGTCATCTCCCAAGGGGATTCTGTTTACTGCAGCCTTTATGATTTTGTACTGCTCCATGTGATTCCAACTTACAGGGTGTTGACATGCAAGGCTTCCTCTGGCCTTGGAGAAATCCAGCCTTATTTAGAAATATGTTTGGCTTATAGACTACATTAAAGTTAGAAGGGATAAAAACAAATTCTCTATGTGGAATTGATTGTCTCAATCTCAAAGCATAGATAATAATAAGAGCAGAAATAGCAGTAATAGAAACGGAGCAATCAAAATATCAAGAAAACCCAAGAATACAACACCTGGCCTCTTAGATCTAACTGACTAAATTTTTAAATTACAAGTATACCTTAAGAAAATTGTCAAGGTTATTTTCTAGAAGACTGAAAATGAGAGGGAATTCAAATCATGAAGCCAAGAGTCTTTTGTGTGTTGAATGCTTGGACTTTCACCCTTCAATGATCAATGGCTAATTTTAGTCTCTAGTATTTCTACTAGAATTTGAACCTTAATCTCTGGTAATAAGTAAAATATTACTACATATCTGCTAGATGACATTAAATATATAAGACATACCTAGTTCGAACCTTTTCTAAAGTTGTCAAAGTATATTTGTTTTTTTAGTACAAATAACTATTGCACCCTGAAATGTTCTACCTTTCCTTTTTATATTTCAGAGTTTCTTAAATTCGAAACACTAAACATCTGTGTAATGTCCTATTGCTGAAAACTCCAAATCACTCTGCAAGTAAAATGATTTTATAATGGAAGTGCAGAAATATACTGTTTTAAAAATGCAATTAGAGGAATTAAAACAACAACAACAACAACAAACTCTTTCCTTTAAAGTCAGACTTATTCACCTGACAGTGTCAGTGGCACTAAGTTAATCAAAGGTAAGTTACTTCAACACAGCTTAATAGTCATTTCTGTGAAAACACCTGTTGAACAAAATTTGGGGTTTATCTTTTAAAAAACTAGTAAATACAAACTTTCATCAGTGCGTTCCTATACTTCCTTGAGAACCTCTACTTTTTCTTGAAGCTTTTCCTGCCTCTGCTATGTCTTCTAAGTTGTCCTTTTTTGCTCCTTCTTATTTTCCTCCCACAACAGTAGCAAAACAGCAAAAATGATTTAATGCCTTTTTAAAAGCGTTCTGTGGATGGCTGCATGCATTTCAGTCTATATGTTAGAGTCGCTTAACTTTGCATTCCAAAAGCAACTATGTAACAACTTCTTAGCATTTTGACTCCACACAACTAAAAATTGAAAGAGTATAAAGCGACTCAATAGGTAGTTCTTACTACTTGGTTAACAAAATGAGGAAAGGAGAAAATATGTTGAAGAGAGAGGCAGAAAAATCCAATTTAGAATGTTTATGTCTTATTAAGGGAGAAAAAAAGCCCACCCATTCCTTCTCTGCTAAATACAAGAAGGGCCGAATAAAATTCAGTAATTTTCTAAAAATTATTTACATTCTGGTAGGATATTGGAGAAGTTGCTTAAGCTATATCATATCATAGGCAACGTTCTGTAAGGAAATGAAGAATGGATTTCACTTTCTGAATAACAGCCTCAAGAGGAGGGGAGCACAGGAAAGGAAATAACTTGATTTCAGAGACTCAAACGTTCGACAAGGTGTCTTAAAACAACAGCTACAGTGACTTAACCACCGTATACCATATGGAAAAGACCATGTCTTTTCCCTGAAATGTACCTTGCCTAGACATTTTGCTTATTATGAGCTCTTGTAGTGCGTTTAGGCACTTGACAAATGGGGGAAGAGAAATCTTCAGCTACATGGAGTTCAGGACGTGGAGCTGTAATCACTGGTCTATCAAAGCCCATAGACAAGGGAAGAAAACGCAACATGAAAGAGTGCAAATTCTCGCTGTTCTGTCGTATTCTGTAATGACTGTTTTACGTCATAAAGGAACTTTTCGTATCAATTTTAGCTGGACAGGGCAATCCTGAAATTAAGGGATGGTGACAAAGAATGCCAAGTCTGTCCCAGGACAGTGGCGGGAGTACTGTAAAATAAGGCGTCGGTCACCCACAAATCAAGTCTCTCTGCCTGCTTTCCAAAGTGTTCACAGGCTCATGGTGCCTGCTGAATGTCAGTGCGTAGGAGCAGGTTAGTAACCCGTAACTCTGATTTGAATGCGTATCTTGGTTCCTCTGTGCGCTGGGTATGGGAGAACTTACACCAAAGCGCGCTAGGCGGGCTGAAGAAGGGCTGAACTGCAAATACTTCTGAACTCACTGGAGTCTTTTTCCTGGAAGCTGGGCGAACCCATCTCTTAGCTCCCGCAGCTTGGGAGTAATGTGCAAATGAAATTGGAGCTGCCGCCTCCTTTTTCTCGTTTGAACCCGGGTGCAGGGTGGCGCGGGGGTGGCCCACGTTCTAGAGTGCCGCTTTGTGTTCCCACGTCAAGACTATTGTGGGGCACGGAGCGGGGGGGCTTCGTAGCCTAGGCCACACTGAGAGCTCTGCGTGATAACTGCACATTCTCTTGTCAGACTGCTAGGCAAGGAGCGGCGGCACCACACCGCCCCCTTCTCGGGCTCCATCCCCATGCACCCGCCAACCCTGAACAGCCTCAGGTAGCAGGAGGCGGGCCAGGGAGTCTCCACCTCCTGGCAGGCGACAGCGATTCGGCGCGCTCAAAAGCTGAGGGGTTGGAGTCCATTGGCTGACGGGAGCTGCCAGTCTCAGGAGGGGGTGTGGTGGGGGTGGGGTCTCGGGGCGCGGCGGGTAGGGGCTGCTCACTGTTTGCTGGGTGGTGGGTGAGCGTGAGCGTGAGCCCTGCTACTGTAGACTTGCGAACAGTTCTGACTGAGCGATAGCGCGACAGAGAGAGAACGAGAGTGAGGGAGCGAGTGCGAGGGGACCTAGAGGAGACAGGGCCAGAAAGCGAGTGCCCGAGGACCTACGATTTGAGACTGAATGACCATGGCTGTCTCCGCACCTCCCGTGATCATCGCAACTTCCAGTGGCGCCGGCGTCCCCGGGGGCTTATTTCGGGCCGAACCCCTGTACTCGACTCCTGGAGAGCCTCCTCGTCTCACCCCGAATATGATCAACAGTTTCATGGCCAATAACCACAGCGGCAGCACCGGGGTCGGCGGGGTCGGTAGTGGCAGCGGAGGCAGTGGCAACACCAACACCAACGAGTGCAGGATGGTCGACATGCATGGGGTGAAGGTGGCTTCGTTCCTGATGGACGGCCAGGAACTCATCTGCCTGCCGCAAGTCTTTGATCTCTTTCTCAAGCACCTGGTGGGAGGGTTGCACACTGTGTACACCAAGCTGAAGAGACTGGACATATCCCCCGTGGTGTGTACTGTCGAGCAGGTCCGGATCCTCCGCGGGCTGGGGGCCATCCAGCCCGGAGTGAACCGCTGCAAACTCATCACCAGGAAAGACTTTGAAACTTTGTTCACCGATTGCACCAATGCCAGGTGAGATACTCGATTTTTGGGTCGCTCTCCCTTCTTTGCCCTCTTCTGCATGTCTCATCGCTCTCATCCAACTTTGTAGAGAGTGAGTCTTAACTAGCTTGCCTCTACTCTTCATGCTGTATGTCCGTTGGGAAAGAGGACTAGGACTCATTAATTAATTGCCTGTCCATTCTAGTCCGCACTCAGTGGCAGGGCTTGGGTCTAAGAAAGTCCCGAACAAACTTTAGTTTGCGGTCCTTTGCTGAAACTTTTCAGCCTTTCGCCCATATTTTGCATGGCTTTTTGGCTGCTTGTGGTTATTTGTTAATTTCTCTATTTGGTTTCCTTTCCTGCTCTTTTGTGGCCATACGGGTCGAATAGGTTTTCTCCTAAACACCGACACACGAAGGGCTTTCTGGGGTAGAGGGCTGGCTGAGCTGTACACTGGGCTCCTAAGCTGGCAATCCAGAACACAGCATTTGGGGGATGCAGAGGGTCGGAAGTCTAGAATCCATCCCAGAGGGTGATTCGTTCCCCATCCTGTGTGTTTGTTGTGAGAGTGCCTGGGGTGTGCGGTGGTGGTGGTGGGAGAGAGAGAGAGAGAGAGAGAGAGAGAGAGAGAGAGAGAGAGAGAGAG